CTCCGCAACTAAACTAAAGGCTCTGGAACATAGTATATGCCTAGAACTGGTGATGTAGATAATGCGGTATCTGTTGGAATTGGAGCGAATCCAGATGCAATTTACCAAGTCAAAGCAAGGGGTTGAAAAAGCACCACAAGGGACGGGAACGACATCCTGACTAAACAAGAGTTTCTTCAATTTGGTCGAAAGTCGTAAAGAAGGCACCGGATAAGCAGCTAACATAAACTACTACCGTACAGCGCATCCCGTGGGCGGCCTTCAAAGGCTATCATTCGTAGGACGAGACGTTAACCTACGCCCGTACATTCCAACCTGCCTCCTTGGGACTTAGCTCTGAAGATGAATTCCCGGTTAGCCGATTACCTTGCCCGGTTAGGAGAACAGTTAGAGGTAGGAAAAGATGCCGACACCGAACAGTTAAAGAATTCTCCTTCGCTTCAAGACTGCCAGCCTATTCGCTTTGCGCCGAAGCAGACGCTGCCCATGGAGAGCCTTTTCCTTTGTGAACATGCCCATAAGACACGACAAAAAAGCCAAAAATTGGGCTTCTAGACGCCTTACAATAAAGAAGCCCCGGCCCCTCGGTGTCTTACACGTCTTCTTCGACCCTGCCGAAGCAGCTTTCTTTCTTCAGGTAGTGAAGTCACTCCGGTTTGTGTATGACTTGACGCTCTAAAGTCTGTATCTTGCCCCTAGTTACTTAATCGTATTCGACTTCTATCGCAGATCTGTTATTTCTTACGCATTTCTTTCCATTAGCTCTCCAAGCTTCCTATCTTTCCATTCCTTCCTAAGCTTCAGTTGGTGTAATAGTCCCACCCCCAGTAAGGGGAATCCTTCCTAAGAAAGAATTTTTTCCGTTTTGTTGAGGCATGATGAGAGAGGGCGGCTCCATGTCGTTGTTGTTCTGAAGAAAATGGAGGCGGACCATATTACTATTATTGTTGTTACGGTCGGAGGAGTCGGTGGTTGTGGTGGTGGTGGAGAACATATTACGGCGAGAAGCGGCTCTTTCACGCTTATGAGCATTCTGGTGTCCTCCAAGAGCTTGAGAAGTGCAAAACTTGCGAGAACAGTAGAGGCAAGAGAACATTCTAGAAGATGGAACCTTTGCTTTTGGTTTAGGGATCATGGGTGGGTGCTGATGATCCACCATATCTGTGGGGGAGGCGGTGGAGGAATTAGAGGACTGGTTCCAGAAATCGTAAACAAGCTGGCTGGGGTCTGCCATTAATTAATTAGTTTTCTCAGGGAGGAGGAAAGGGAATGTATGTATGTAATTGTGATGATGAGAGTGTAGTGTTATATATTTATAGGAGTAGAGTGAGTACTGATCTGATAAAAAAAAAGGTGGGGGAAGGGGAATGGTTGCATATGGTGACAGATTTGGCAGAGCAGAGTGAGTGCCACTGGTTGTTTAATTTGCTTGTATGTATCTGTGCCACTGGTTGTTTAATTTGCTTGTATGTATCTGCTCTACCCCCCACCCACTCTCCTCCTTTAGTACGTACGTACTAATATACGGTTGTTAAAGTGTACACCTGTACACCTTCGTTACATTTTTACTATTTTATCATCATTTCATTTCCAGTATCCTTGCATTGCATGCATACTCAATTACCCATCCTATACACTCTTAAGTAAGTACACATGCTGCATGTTATCACTAATTAATGATAGCTCATTTTGGAGTGAAACCTGATCTTAAGATTACTTTACTATACACTTAAAACCTAAAGAATTTTATGTTTATCAGTGTAGTTAATAATGTTGTTCTGTACTAGTACTAGATATATTTATCACCTTTCCAGGTTCCCCATCCACGTTAATTAGAAAACAAAAAAAGAAAAAATGATTATTTAATACCATATTCTATTAAGTCAGTTATAGTAGACTAGGAATCCAGAAAACTTCAAATCAAGAGGTCATACTCCGCCAACTACGCTTGGTTAAAGCTTTATCCCGGTTTGTTTCATTTGCTTTCAAGTCTAGTGGAATCACTATGATAGCTTTCCCCGGGATCACAAAACACTATTCTATTAGGTCACGAACTCGTGCCCCATTCTCTCTGACCGAGGCGCTAGATCTTCTATCTATTCGATTGACCCTAAAGCTAGGAAGACTGCCCTACCTTCGACTGAGAGTGTCTTCGCCTATAAACTCTTCTTGCGTACTTGACTTATAGGCTTGACGCCCATTTCCTCTAGGCTAGTTCATTCCCGGAAAAGAAAACTAGTTGAATTAGCGAGGATCCTTAAGAAAGCGGGTGCCATTCTGTCAGCTTCGTCCCAATGGATATCTCTTCTCTCAAACAGCAACCTAAGGAATCTCTCTTTCCACATGAGGTTTGAGGGATAAGGTCTTCTGGAAACCTTTTGAAGTGGGCAAACCAAGTCAAAGAAAGAAGCAACTCTCCCAGGACCGGAGAAGCTCAATTTCAAAGGTTAGGAGTTTAGTTCTGACTAGTACTGCCGAGGAGCGATTCCTCTGAATGGCAAGTATGAGTTCAACTGCCCTTCCTTCGGAGAATGGAGTCAGGGAGTGAGGAGACAGAAAGAATATTTTCATACCTTAAACCTATAGCTATCAACAGTCCGCACCTTTAGTTTTGTCAACACTGAGAAGCGAAGAGCTCAAGGTCAGGCAAGGCAGTCTAAGAGGCTATGGAATAGTTGCCTCAAAATAAGGGGTTATATATGATTTTACATTTATAGACAACTTTACAGATTTGTTTATGGATCTTTGAGAATTTTTTTTCATTTCCCTGAGATCGTGGAGAAGACATGTCCAGTCCAATGAATTTCAATCCCTTATCTCTCGGCTCGGAAGGGCACCAACGGTCGTGTTATCATACAGGATAGCTGAGATAAAAGCTATGTTATTATGCGTGGAGCCTTTTAGAAAAGCCCTTGCTTTCTTATATTGTCTAATTGAAGTGAAGTAATGTACCTATACCCGGGAGTAGCAGAAAGAATAAAATATCTCTTGTACTGGAGAGTTTTCCCCCTAAGGCATCCAAAGGCCCTTAAAACGCGACTTCATATGCTTGTAGGGGTCTCTACTCATTTGCCTTCAATCCTGCCTTTTGAGGAAGAGGCCGCTAAGGAAGGCCTTCCAACCATAATGCCTCCATGGACGGGCGGCGTGCTCCATTCTTAGTATTACACAGTCAGTCCCACATGAGTAGAGGCGCGCAGGCAAGCGAATAGAAAAGTAGTCTTTCTCCGCGGCAAGCATATTCAAGTACCGAACAGCCCGAGGAGTAGGCTTCCCGATGCTGAACTCTATTCCTTAGGTTCGGAGGTTCATAGGTTCGTAGGAGGAGCCTTATGTCGTAGGCCCTTCTTTCTAAAAAGTGGAGTTTTGACTGACTCTCTGTGCCTATGTGTGAAAACGAGTATGTGAACAGAACATCTTTCAAACATCGAGATGAAATAAGCCGTGGGGCCGGCAAACGGAACTAAGAGCTGCTCAAGGCACCACCAGCCCTTGGCACAACGATCAGGTCAAGCAAAGCGATATTATTTTCAATTCATTTTTGAAGCCCTGGGTACCAAGCAATCCGTTTAGATCTATTTCAGTTGCCAATGAAATGGAATATGGGGAACTCTCCGTCTAAGTGGTTAATCCGACGAGTCAATTCTCAATGCGATGCTGCTATCCGTTCGACGATCCCAGTAAGTGATGCTATGTGCTCTTATCTGTCTGTTCTAACTGCAGGTAGTGCCCCCTCCATCTTTCTTCTGGGGTTTGCTTCCGAAAGGGTCTTAGACCTCAGCTTGGGAAAAGCATGGTTTAGGTAATTGATCTACGCGAGACCTTCCATTGATCTAGGGAGCCTGGTGTAGTTTCTTTCCCAAAGAACTCTTTTTCAATCCATATGGCCAAAAAAGGCTATCTACCCCCATTCTACCAGCAAACCCTTTCTTTTAGTCGGGCAAGGACTCTCGGTTAGCCGTTTTTTTGTTCTTTGGTCATTTCCGGTAACCTGGTAGATCTACTGAACCTTTTCCAGAAGGGAGTTTCGAAGGGCTGCGAAACTGGTAACCTTAGCCCAGAACTCGATCTACGGCCCCCTCAAGGTTAGGGGCACTCAAAAGCGCCGTTGCCAACGGTGCAATCTATGGTGCCTCCAAGGCATCCAGCCGATCCTTACCCTTCCAAGTGATAAAAAGTACACCACACTTTTTGATCAGCTTTGCTCACGAATTCACATTCGACGAATCCTATATTTATTGGGGAAGGTTTTGATTCTTTGCTCAGCTTGGATCGCGATTGAAAACTCTCCGAAAGGGGGAAGTCACAAACGAATCCTCTGACGGCTGATGAAGAGTTTTCTGAGCCAGGATCACATCCTTTGAGGATGCAAATAGAATTACAGAAAGAAGGGTTCTATTCGATGAAGAGTTCCCTAGCTGGAGGGTTTTGCACCGAGAATGAATGAATGAATGAAATAGTGGAGTCTTAATAAGAGTAAGGATCGAACACCCGATTCCTATAACAAACGATTCTATGAAAAGAGGTTGAAAATCGCATTTTGGGAAATCTTTCTTCCCGGTGAAGCGCCTTGGAATCTCGTTGAGAAGCATGACAATGGGTACGACCTCTTGTGAAATCGGTCGTTCAAGCTCTTTCCTACCCCTTTCTATTTCGACTTCTTTGAAAGGTGAAAGAGTAAGAAGCTAGACCGACTTGCTCTTAAATTAAAAGCAGCAAGAGCAAGTAAGTAGGCTTTTCTCCGCAAGAACAATCTTGACTTTCTTTAGACTTTATAATATAAGGCCCTTTAAACGATCGTAAATGGCCTGAAATGTAACGACCTATGAGAGAAGGGTTTTTAGAAAAGAAAGCGTACCAATCCGGCAAACAAAGCAAAAACAACGGCTCCTACATAAATAGAATAGAATAGAAATGCTGTCACTAGAACGGACCACACAAATAACATCTTTCTAGCCGCCTAAAGGAAGTATTCAAAGATAAGATAAGGCTATGCGCACACAAGCTAACTTCAGGTATGCAGTTAGTTCTCAAGCGATTCCTTCGGATCTTAGGTGCGACCTTAGGGAGCTTGTTTTGGCAGCTACTCTCTTATAGTTATGTGTCCTGGTTTCCGAGTTCTAGTTCAAGGCAGGGCAGGACGGGACTCACGGGGGTTGGGGGGAGCCTTCCCCCAGGGAAAGCCTAATAAGACTCATTCTAATACTTGAGTTCAAGCTCCTACTTCGAAGTAAGCCTATGGGTTGTTTCGAAGCTTAGTAGCTAAAGCGTACTTGCGTGTTAAAGGGGGTACGCGGATTTGGGCTACTAAGTGGAACCAGACCATTCAACTTGCCATTTGCACTCTCCTAGGGTGCGATCGTAGGAAGCTCTATTAGCGAATGCAATTCCCCGCCCGATAAGACTGATCATGCCCTGCTGCTTGGCTTGGAATCAAACTAGCCTATCATGCCCTTTCTTCATTCCTATATGGACCCATATTCCTATGTTCTTCCAATGTTTACTGTATTACTGGGATTCCTATTTACTGAACCATATCAAAGAAGCTACTTTCTTTCTGGCTTTTATACCCAGGTATAAAGGGATAGACAGTCTAAGAGAGTGCCAAGAAAGAACACATACCTATCACTTTTGGAAGGTTTGGAACCCTCGATTCATCCGACTCAAGGAGAAAAAGAGAACAAGATGGGGGGGCTTGCCTCCTCGTTCCCTTTTACCTATGCCATGATGCTCATGGGCAGCTTATCTCTAATTGGATTTCCTTATCTTTCTTCTTCAAATTACGAGTTGAGATTTGGGGAGAGTGGATAGGACAGGGTGGTGGATGACGTAAAGGAAGGGAAGGCCCATCCCGTGCTTTCGAGCGATTCTTCCCGCAAAAGGCAGATCTTTTTCTTTCCGTCCCAAATAGAACAATTGAATAGGGACTTAGATGTGACCAAGGTGCTTGCAAGCTTAGGGTTAGCAGGTTGTTGGCTGGGAGAGCTGGTAAAAGAATGAAACCTTCAAGAGACCATGGTTAACAAGCCAGCTGAGGAAGAACAATCTCCCCCAGCAATACCGATCCTCCCTAGTTCAATCAGAATCGAGAACTGCGGAGAGGTTCTAACCGGCCTAGCCTAACCAACCGCTACAAGCGGGCAGGAAATAGATGTGGTGGAGACTCAAGTCAAGGCGATGGATCACTATCACTATAGATAGATGCTTTCCCTGGACTGTGTTCAATGGCACCTG